TCTGCAGTATCAGCACCATATTGTTTCACATAATGAAAAAAATTCTCAAATCTAGAGAATACCTGGCATCTTCATAACAAAGTACTCAGCATTGTATATCTTTGGCCTTTGCAAGAGGCTCTTACCTCTGTCAAGTTTTTAATTTTCTAACCTGGTTTCTTACTTCCTTGGACTGTTACATTTATTCAAGGCAAGACAATGAGCAGCTGTCTGTCTTTTTCATTCTGTTCTCCCTCCCACATTTTACCCAAACTCATATTTTTAGCACCTGGACTCTACATTGAATTAAATCTGTAATTCACCATCTATGTACACACACATGTGTAGGGATGCAAGTCATTTTGAATCAGTCTCCATAGTGAGCTGAAAATTGGCATCAATGAGATCTTGTCACTAAAAACAGCCTTTTACTGTAATTTTTGTAATAAACTTTGAATTAGATATGAAGTAGCTATTATAACTATAGAAAACCAACTTATTTCTGCATATCCATCTTTCACCCATTAGGCTTTCTGATGTCCCATTTTACATATGGACATTTCCCCAGGAGTCTCACCTCCTCTTCAGGGCATCAGTTATGCAGAATTCACAAGATGCCAACAAAGTTCTAGAAATCTGATTAATAAAATACATAGAAAAACTAGTACTTTCCCCACATACAAAAAAAAAAAATCCTCTTTGAAATAAGAAATTGGCAATAAACGTCAATTCTGGACTCTCACTGTGGCTTGGCACTTCAGATTATCTCCATGCAACTTGATTCCCTCTCCTATCATCCCAGACTGCACTGTTTTATCCATCCAGAAAAGGGATCCCCAAGGGCTCAGTGGTGGGATTGTCCCACAGTTTTGAGGCTGGTATAGTGGTGGTAATGACAGGCATGGTACATACACGATTGCTGTCTGAGTGTGTCACACAGGTTTTAAAGGAACTTGGATGTATAAAAACACAATCCTGCTTTTCTTCATTCTTTTGTACTAAAGAAAAAATATTCTCAGGCAATAATAAGCAAATCAGGCATTTTCAGGTGGATTACATATTGTTGACAAATTTTCACACATTTTCCTTTAATCGTAACAGTGTTGAAATGCTTCTGTTTTGAATCACTTGCATTGAATGCATTTGCATGTCAGGAAGATCTGCTGCTAAGAACTTGAAGGTCTGGACTGTCTTCTCATAAATTTAGGGGGGGATTGGCAGATGGTCCATTAATGGTGCTCTGCTTAATTTACTGCACACTGATTTCATTGTCAGACAACCTGGCTGTATAGAATGAAATATATACATGGTTAGATAGTTGGAAAAATACCAAATTATCAAGATGACAGTATTTGTATACAGAAATATTTAATAGTGGAATTAAGTGAAAATGTGACTTTTTTTTAAATTGAAACACCACATTGCAGAGTAACACAGCTACAACCATTAGCTGTGTGAAAAATACATACATTCATGGCAAAAATATAAATACTCAAATAACTGCATACTTACAATAGTAGTAAAAGTTGTACAACATATGTGCATGTGTTTGGACAAACCCTATAAAGATTCTTTTCCCAGTTCCCCTTTCATCTGGATGACACTATAGTAATTTATATCAAGAACAAGTGAACACAAGATTTCTCAAGTCAGAACAGCAGCAATTTGTTTTAACTTTGATCCTGTCACTTAACGCCACAGTGATGATGGAAGATACAGACCGCAGAGAATCCAGACTCCATGTCCTCTTTTATACCATAATGGACTTCAGATACTACTTTAAAATAAATTTTAGTCTTTTAATTCTATAGTCTGTGGTCCCAGTTATTTAATCCAGAGGGCTGACTTTCAAGGCATCAACCTCCTATTAATATTCAGGGAGAATCAGGCTCTTAAAAACTCTCATTTAAGAGCCTAAATGAAAATGAGGCTTTTCTGTCTTACTTACAGCTACAAGAAAAGGTGCTTGCTACTTCAGAAAATTGGATCACTTCTAGTTAGAAATTCTTTCCACTTTCAGTGGAACAAATATGCTTAAATCCAAAAGTCTAGACATCAAGTCTTAAAAATGACAGCCTTTTGTCTCATCCTAGGAGCCATGGCACTCTACAGCACCAAAAAAGGATGTCTACAGGGAGGCTGTCATGTTAGAAATTGGTGTTTAGTGGTCTGGGTACAGATGACAGATTGGGAAATCTCTGCAGTCATCCCAATTAAGGTGACATTCTCCTACAAGCAGACACACTACTGTAAAAAGTTACAGGAAGGCTTGTTTGGAAAATTAATCTGTAGAGAGAGAAGAAACTTTGGCGTAACAAAATTAATTTTCATGAAAAACAGAAGAATGGTTTTGGGGAGGAAGATAGGACAAGTTGTTGGTTATTCAGACCATCAGTCATCAGTTCACAATGTGCAATTTCAGATTAGAAAGCGCAGTTATTAAGCTCAATTTAAAGCTTATGCATATGCTAAACAAGAAACCAGAAAGAGAAATAATAAATCATGGAGCCATTAAATTCATAAGTATTAAATTTGAGAGGAGTTGCAATAAGGGAAATGGACGAGAAATGCAGATTATTTTAAGTCATTTTGCTTGCAAAAATGATGATGGGTTTTCAGGAGAAACAATCCAAGTTGTATTGATTACAAATTATTCCAATATGCCACTTCAGCCCTCCTGCAATATCCACATGCCTGTAATACTTTTCAGGGCATATTTAAGGCTAAGCATCAGATTGCCTGCAGTGAACAAGGCTCTGACTGGATTGCACAGTTTTCAGGAGGCTAGTGGGACCAGCAGTGTGGTACCTGCAATGTGGTACCTATCCTTTCACTCCAGTATTCAGAATCAGGAACAGGTAAAGGATAACCTGTGTGTGCTTCTCAGATGGTCTCAATTTTGTAACTGTTTTTTCAAATGGTTCTTCAGTTGAGATATTGTAGGAGGCAGGGGAGGCCAGGTTATATCTAATCAGCACCTGCATTTACAGCCCATAACATGCTGTGTTTTCCAAATAAATATGTTCCCTGTAACATCAGTGGAGTGAAAAAGGAGCTTTTAAAAGAGTTTATATGTTGAAATGCAAAAATCCAAGTCAGGTAAATGAGATCCTCCTGGAGGTCTTCAAAAGTTTTCAAGTGTCCCCACGGATGATGTGAGAAAGGTGTTCATTTACTTTAGGAGATTTGGTTCATTATATAACTGAAATTCATGCGAGGTTGGTGCATAGGTCAGGCAGACAGCTGCTGCTCAGACCACAGCTGCTAGTTTTCTCTCTAGAAAAACTCATGTACTAGCATGAGCAGCCTTTGCCTACCATTGCCCATCCTTCTGCTCACCGTGTTATCAAGAATTTATCATGATTAATTATGTCCATATACTGCTGAAGTGGGGAGAAGGAATCAGAGTTTTTCTCTTAAGAAAACAGCAGACTGCAATACTTTGTTTGCTGCCCACTCTAAAGACAGTTTCTTATTTGCTTCAGCATTTTCATCCAGGTTTTGTAAAAAAAATACACCCCCCCAATTTTTTATGTTCTCCTTTCCCTAATCTTCTTGCTAAAATGCATTTGTGAAATACATTGTTTCCCATAAAAATTCTCCAAAATATCAGACAGAAAATCAAAGCTCGAGAGCCAAAACACATTTTGCCAAACCCCATTACTTGGCCAGGGGAAGGTGAGTGGGAAAGGATATTCCTCTTAATGAAAAACTCCATCATAATTTTTGAAGTTGTAATTTTTTCCTCAGATAGCTCTGCCCAGCCTGCCACTGACCCTGCATTAAGTATAAATAAACACCTTTTGCAGTTACACAGAGCAAGACCTTCTCTGAAGTGGAGATGTTAGCTTTCTCTCTGAGTTTTTAACCCACGAGAAGGTTTAATGTATGACAAGGAATATACAGGGATTTGGGGGTTTTTTATCTTGTTGCAGTTAAAACTCCTCATTCTGGAGAGTTGGTACCTTTTGCCATCATCATACCAACACCACTCTGGAATGAGAAAGCAAAAATGGCAACCAAATGAAGTTTACTTTTGTATCCTTAGTTATCAAAACTAAATTACCCAGAACTTTTGACAACAATTCTGAAAAATCTCAGACAAGACCGCATACTTGTAATAATCCATGTTTCACATGTAGTTTTCCTATAAAACTCCACAACCCTGCCAAATGCAGAAATGATTAGGTGGACAGCCACCAGAATATTGGGTGGCTGCTTTAGTCTCCAGTGTACCAGACAGACCCCTAACCACATTACTGCAAAGTAATCCATTACTGGATCATGAGTTTTAAACCAATTGTTGCAGATTTGCTGTAGAATCAAAAGTGTCTTGAAGATCATAATAAAATACCAGCTCTCCATCAAGATCAATACTTCACCAGACCAAGCCGACTAAAACAAAAGCCCAGATCACGTTTCACTGTCAGGCACACAAATGTCAGGCTCATCATAGGTGGGAAGGATTTCTACACACTTCTGGTATGGGAAGGAACTTTGTTCAGGACTGATTTTGATGGGTTAGGGTCAGGCGTGTGCTGCTTTCTGCTTCCACTGTGCTCTAAACAAAGACATTCAGAGTGCAGAGGAGTGATATTCTTCTAAATTCCAGTGGTGTGATGATGAGAATGAGATAATATATTCTACCTCCGAGATGGTCTCAGTCACAGATATTTATGGAGTAAACTTGTTTCTAATGTTGTTCTAAGCCAGAAAACGACTCCAGGTGGTTAACAAGGGTACCTAGTTAAATTTTGGCACTTTGGGTATCTTACCCAACTTCCTGCTGTCATGTCAGAGGATCCTGGGTCTCCTTGCAGCATATCTGTCAACCCTGTATGGATGTTTCAGCTAGTTTAGGGCATCACAAAGAGTATTAGAGCCTCTGTTTTAAGGAGTGAAATCCCAGCCTCCCCTACCAGCACTTAATAAATATGCACATATGCACATACACAATGCCTCCACAATTAAAGCATTATGTCATTAATTAAAACCAGGTCACAAACAGCAACTCAACCATGTTTTGCTCAGTCTTGGAATGGTTGTTTATTCCAAAGTCATGAAGCTTCCTGTAAAGTAAATACCTTGAGAGTACAGTGCCATTTACATAATGTACAAATGTATGGTGCTTTCTCAAATACAATGAGACATAAAATCACATTAAAATGTTCTGCTAATATAACAGAATGTAAAAATCACATCTGAACAGCAACAGAACTCAGCAGCCAAATAGTTTAGTTGTCAGTATCGCTTAAGATAAAATGGCTAATTCAGTTGAGTATTTTGGGAACTAGGATCCTTTTCACACTGCAACCAGGATTTTGCATTTTAACTAAGCAAACTTGAAGGACTATTTGCCAGGCAAATTTGTAAAACTCTTTTCAGGTGTGACTGTCCCCGTTTTATCAGTAGGAAAAAAGAAGATGGGATTTTGGAAAGAAACAACGCAGTTGGGCATCAAAACCTCAATGAACCTGAATTCTTCATATTACTCTGCAAATCTTAGGCTGAGTCACTGGTTTGTAGGGGAACTCCCTAAGAATATGGGATAAAGTTTGTAGTTTTACCCTGACTGAGCCCTTTTTTAGTCAATGTATTGCACATACTCTCACAACACTGTATAATTAAGGAAGGGACACTGTGGGAAAAGAGTTCTGCACGTGACTCACGAAAAAGAGAGGAAGAACACAGGAAAATAGAAAAATGAAAACTCAAACCTTTTTTATGATCAATTTTCTAGCTCTGCCTTATTATACACATAACTGGTAAAATCTTTGCCTCATTTTATTGGAACTAACAGAGTCAAAAATCTTATTGCTTACTCTTTGAAGGTTTATGAGGCACGCAGGTACAACAGTGAACAATTTTAAGTCCTTCCAGTCAGTGAAACACAGTTCCTCTGTTGTGCTGGGGGGCAGCAAGCTGAAGCTACAAAATAGGCTGTTTCATAAGACAAGAGTATGACTTGTTATAGACACGAACCCACTAAGCACTATTCTTTTTCTTAAAGTCAAGCCTAGATGAAAAAATTAAAAGTGGAAGTTTAGTACCAAATCTTGCTTTCTGTTCCACTTGGAAACTAAGCAGACATTTCTCTTCAAAGAATTGTATCACATACTGATCTATAAAAACGTAAGAACAGATTGAAATTACATTAATATAAACAGGCATCTCTGAAAAGAACATTGAGTACTCAAAATTGTGGACATTTATGCTAATACTTTCCAAAATGGTTATCTTGCATATTGTACAGAGATATAAAAAGTAAATATCACCTTTTTAATAAATTATTTTTATTTCAGCTCTAGTGGAAAAAATATATATAATTATACATAGAGTCGGAAATTCAGAAAAAAATTTCTGATCTCTTTCTTTTGGGACAGGGAAGAGTGAGGGAAGAATGAGGTCAAAAGTGAAAAAGTCAAGACCTGCATCTACAGAAAAGAGAGGACATTAATTTTTTCTATCACATTATACATGTTAACTGGAAATAACTACTTTCAAGGTTCATTTCTTCAAAAAAAAAAAATTGGAGAGTTGACCTTAGTTTCTTGCTTTTTTCAAATTTTAAGGATGGCAAGCGTTTAATCTTCCTTCCTGTGACTGGATTTTGATTACTTTGACTAGCAGGATAACAGGCTAAGGTCTTTTCGCTCATACCAGTGGCTCCAGTTCTCGGCCATTTACCACATCAAACTCTCACATGGCTGTTGAGTGACAAATAATTACCGAAAGTGAGAGAAAAATAGATCATGTCTTCTTTCTGACAGCAACCCAAGGCTAGACCTGCCCCAGACATTGCCTTGAAGGTTCAGATGACAGCGTAGACATCATCTGAACCCAGGCATGATCCAAGAGAAATGCCTTGCTTTAAAAGGAAGATATTGAATTGTTGAAGCTCAGACTCTGGTACTATTGCTTAATTTGAACTGTATTTTTTCTCTTATGAAGGTTGGAAAGAAAAAAAACCACCAACTCAAAAAACGCCTTGTTGTTAGAAAGTTTTTTCCAGATGGTTTCCGCCCTTATTCTAAGCATCTTGGAAGAATTCTTTTAAAACAGACATGTTTTGGACATGCTAACATTTCCCAAGTAAATCTGGGGACACTGAGCACTGTGGGGTTTTTTTGTTTTGTTTTGGTTTTTTTTGTTTGTTTGTTTCTGTTTGGGGTTTTTTGTGATTTTTTTTTCGTTGGTTGGTTGGTTTGGTTTGTTTGGTTCTGAAATGAAATTAGTTTTACATAAGTAATGTAAAATCACAGAACATGAAAAACACCAAACCCTTATACACATCATGGAACTAATACAGCTGGGCTACTCAAAATATATTTTTTGGACATAAGTTTGAGGGAAGATGTCACAATTATGACTTTTCTACTCAACTATCACAGACCAATAGAACTATTTCTTACCAACTGTGCTTCATCAAATTTGTTCTTGCAAATGATCAGAAGGAAAACAGGGAGAGAAAAACTCAGTGGGATTAAGGGTTTCACAACCTGGCACATATGGGCTAAGGCTACTTGTTTCAGAAAAAGCTAGTTAATAAGCCCAGAGCTTCATCAACGTATAAATCCTGGAAGAGGGTCTCAGTCACATCTGAAGCTCAGTGAAAGCTCTGTCCTTCTGCACTCGCAGCAGCCTCAGTGTCTCCTTCTCGAAGATGAAGAGCTGAACATATGTGTTGGGAGTTGCTTGCTTAGTAGCACAATACTTCTTTCCCTTTATAAACAATGAGCTCTCAAGCTCCCTGAAGCAAAGAAACCAGGCAAGGAAATATTTAATCAATGAAAGGAGGAATTTATATGCAGTTGATAAACTAAAGGCTGTATGGAAATATCAAATGTAATTGAAAAAAGAAACCCTTTCTATCACTGCCCAATGTCCTGAAATGTCTAAGTGTGAAAGCAGAAACATGACTCAATTTCAGTGGTAGCCACAAATTGTCTGACTTTCAAAAAAAACAAATCCCTGATTCTCATTCAGAAGATGAAAACACCTTTGCTGTTATGAATTTTCCCCATTTTCTACATAGCTGCCCTCATAACACTGACTTTCCTCTCATTCTAAAATGCATCTCCAGTATTGGGATGCTGCACCCATCAAAGCGAATACAAGAGCCCCATTGGCTTGTGGATTGCACTTTTGAATGCTTCTACACTAGGAGAATTATAAAGGCTGGTGTATTTTGATTAAAATTGAGGACCTCTGCATTTCTCAAAGTGGCATTTTACTGAGTTAAGGGAAAAGCAGAGAATGGAAGAGGCCTCTTGATACAATATGTACTAGAGGGAGGAAGAGCAAAAAAGGAGGACTGTGTGACACATGGATGATGACGCACACGGTGATCCAAAGGTTAGAGCACACCTCTAGGTGAAAGCTGAGGTTATATGCAGAGAGGAAGAGATTAGAGGGAGCTCAGCTCCCTCTAATCCTCCTATGAAGACAGAAGTAGACCAAGATCCATCCAGCTCCAACAGATGATATTTCACTGTCCGGTGGAGACCTCTTGCCAAGTTGCATCTCAGCCACATTTTTAAGCTTTGGGACATTATGTTTTTGTCAAAAAGTGTGTATCAAACAGTTACTAGAGCTTAAACAGTCAAAAAAGAATAATATCATAGGTGAATCTTCACATTGATAGCAAATATTTATTAACAGTTAATTATGTTGTTCTAACACAATAAAAGAAAAACTTAGAACTTGTGCCTTCCTGCAAAGGTTTTGCCATTTATTCCTCATGAACACTAGTGCAAACGTGGGCAGTTGTTGGTGGAAGCTGGCATTCACTATCCTGATCTGTTTTAGACAGTACATGCTTTCAAGCATCTAACACCCAATGAGGCACAATAACATACCCTGCTTCCCCATCCCTGAAAAACGTGCTTCTACAAAGCTGGAGAAACACAGAGGGTATGCCCATGCCCTCAGCTAACCATACAACTGTGACTGTACTCATGGGTCAGACCAGCTCATTGTCTACACAATTCACTCTCAGGTATGACAGCTCTGAGCTCCAAGCTGGAAAGTGCACACGGGAGGCTCACTTAGCTGCGTTTAAACTGCCTTTCCTCTCACAGTGCAGACCCAATCCAAGAGCCCCTCATTTTCCCTGATGCCAAGGGGTACCTAGGGCTGGCTCTGACTCAGCACCATTCAAAGACATGACAGACGATGTGACATGGCCTGCTTCTGACTACAGATCACGTATCACTACTGTGTTCTCCTTAAAACAGTTGTTTACCTCTTTGCCTTAAACCTCACCTCTTCACAGCAACTTGCAGAGCTTCTGTGCAGCATTCCTAACCAGGCTGCGCCGAGTGCAGCTCAGGACACAGTCCACTATATATGCTCTCTGGCATTTTGCATTTCTCTCAGACTATTAAAGGGAGAAGAAAAAACTCAGAGGTGTTATTTATTCAATTCAAAAGCAACCCATTATCACTGTGTTACACTTCTAACATGCAAACACCATGACACAGCACCAGCAGGGAATCCGTTATCCCTGAAAAAATAAATGGCATGCTCTTTTGCAATCAAAATATATGCCCTGCTGTCAATGAATATATTCTTGGTTACAGCACCAGGAGGAAATTTTTGCTTTTTCTCCTCCACCTCTCATCCAAATTTCTTCCCCAGGGTTGCAGAGTATGAGATGAGCAACGTGACCTTGCAGTGACAGAATTTTAATGTGTGACTGGTGCACCAAAAGCGATGCAGCAGCGTCTCCCTGCTTAGTGTTGCTATGTACGCTAGACATTTATGTAACACTGCTTCTCATCCTCAAGGCTGTCCTTTCCTGGGGTCAGCAGCAACAAACACAAAATTTATTTATCGAACTGTCAATGTTACTTACAGCTGACACGGAGAACTCTACACTCAAGTATTTTGGTGAAAAGGAGTTAACACGTAAAGCTATTCCCAATCCCAAAGCTGCAGAAGAGAAGTAGATTTTTTTTTAAATGGGTTAACTTGAAAGAGTAAAGGATTTATTTCAAACAAATTGCTTATTTCCAAGTTGTTTGCTAAAGTATTCTAGTTTTCTTCTGGGCTTTAGCACTGAGTTGTGCATGGAAATGCAAGGCTTTTGCATATATTAGCTCTCAACCCCCAGGGAGAGACTGTATGTACATCTAGAAAATGGGGTTTGCTTTTAATTTCTAAAATTGAGAAGCCAAGAAGAATATCTTCTCCTTCCCCTTGGTTCCCAGGTTCAAAATATTTTATCCCGTTCATTGTTAGCATTCTCCTGCCCTCCTTGGTTTGCTCTTTAGTTGACAGCAGTTTACCTGAAGCATTAGGACTAGGTTTCCCTCTTATCCAAGTGCTCTGTTAAGAAGTCATCTACAATTGGGATGAGTGGTTTTTTCCAGCTTTCTTTCTGTGCCCATGAAATAATGGGACAGATCTACTGCCCTTAGTACAGATCCAGCATCTCTCTCTTACAAATAGGATCCTTCTAGAGAATATAACACTTCAGGCACAGCAAACCTTGAGATCTACTGCAAGACTGGAGATATTCATACATCAGAGGAAGTGCACAGCATTCCTTGGTACCAAAATGGATCCCATCCTTCTTACAACATGGGTGATATAACTAGCAGGATAGTAAACCTTCACAAATACTCATCCAGCCCTTTAAGGAGAAGCATTTGTTGCTCAAAACCAGTGTGTAAGAGCATTTATTATACATGTCAGTCCAGCAGAGGATTCAGGATTTAACCTTAAAAGATACTGTCTAATTAATCTACTGTATCTACAAAGGAAATTCCAGAGTTTACAGGATTTACTAAGCTTAGCACGGGCACTAAAATATCAGACTCTTTATGGGAATGAAGAGTCTCATCTCAGCTCCACGCATCTCACCAGTGCATCACCATAGTGGCTTTAATGAAATACACCAGCAGCAGAGATGATGCAAATCCCAAATCACCATTCACAGTTGAGTCATCAGCTATATTATATATATCCCTGAAAAATGTACATTCATAGCAGAAAATCTCAGTTCTGCACAGGCACCAGCAGCATTTATATTAAACCTTGTTGTTAAATCCTCTTTGCTAAAACAATAAAAACTGGTTTAAACTGTGAGGTGGAAAATCTGCAGATAAATCGAATGTATAATCCAGAGAAGAACAGATCCAGTTTGTCTTATATCACACTGGCAAGTTTATGAAATGATTGTCAGGTTGAAGTGAAAATTAATCTCCCTAGAAACCCCTTTTTTTAAAAAAAAGGTAAACATTGCATTTTAATAGCTATGTCTGACTTATGAGCCTTGAACTGCTATAGGCAATGACTAGTTAGCCACATGCCTGCTTCTCCTAAGTCATGTCTTGCAGTTTGAAACTAAAATCTGGTGTGTTAATGTTGAGTAGAAGTTTTTCTTTTAGGCTGCTGTTCTACAAGTCTTACCAAACCATTACTTCTCTGCTCTGTTAGGCTGTTACAGCTGAATTACTGTCCCCAGTGTGGCTGGTCTGCTACTCATATTATCTGCCCCTTCTCAGCGAACTTCAAATCTCCTTCTCACCTATGTGCTAGCAGGATTAGGAGCAAATAGACAGCTTCTGCACTTGCTTGCACTGGTTGTAAAAAGTGCTCACAGGTTGCTCTATGCTTAGATCGGACTGTGCATGGATGCAAATACACGTAGTACTTCCCTTACCTGCAAGACACATCTGCTAACAAGGTGGGTGAATATCTGCAACCAAATAAAACACTGGGGATTTAGAGCTGAGAGTGTAAGCCCATGATCAGGATGCAGTGGAAACTGAAATCACAAAATCACAGAATCAAAGAATCATAGAGTCATAGAATGGTTTGGGTTAGAAGAGACCTTCAAGACCATCTAGTTCCAACCCGCCTACCATGGGCAGGTTGACCCCTCAGGTTACTCAAAGCCCCATCCAGCCTGGCCTTGAACATTTCTAGGGATAGGGCAATGACAACTTTTCTGGGCAACCTATGCCAGTGTCTCACCACCCTCACAGAAGAGAATTCCTTCTTAATATCAAATCTAAACCTGCTCTCTTTCAGTTTAAAGACATTACCCCTTGTTCTATCATTACATACCCTTGTAATAACAATGGGCACAGTGCTTTCACATACATCTTCACATCAGGCTTGTGCGGACAGGAGTCTTCAGAGAGAGGGTTTATCTGTTTTCCCTTTAAAGTAACTGTTCTTTAGTCTGTTGTGGTAAAACAATCAGCATTTTGCAGAAAAATGGATTTGGCTTAAATTTTCTGCCCTAAGCAGTGAAGTCATCAACTAGGTGTCTGTGGTATGCAGTGGTGTCCTCTCCAGCCTAGGTTCAAAGTTGTTTGTTGTGATCTCTCATACTGCTTTCAGTCCTGTCTTCTAGAAGAGCAGACAAAAGACCTTGGAAGAACTCACATGCTAGTAGTAGTACCACATACTGAAATAGAGAAGTGTTGCTTCAAATACAGGGCTGGAATAATCATTGTGGAGTGACAGGCTGTCCTGCAGACTTCAGAGGTGAGAGTCACTCCTCATCAGGCCTTCCCACACAACATCAGCGTTCATCTCTGCACTCCTTTGTTGTGGCAGTGGACATTTACTCACACAAACAATATCAGTGCTATGGGAATAGGATGTCTTGGGTAAATCTGATTAATCCAGCTGTTAGCTGTGTAAAGCCCTGAGTCCCACACTGCTGCATGAGGGCTGCATTCCCAATGCAGGGAAAGGGCTTGTTTTCCATCATGGCATGGAAACATTCCTGGTCTAAAAAACAGCCCTGAAACATTTCTGATGAATAAAACACAATGATCCTGCTGAGCAAACACCGATGGGCCTGCAGTTTTGTGACTGAGTCAGAAGTAGCAGAATTCATGGTGGGATCCTTCCCCTGCCAGCAGGACACTTATGATGCACTCACAGGACATAGTTTAAAGTGCAAAGAGATGCTCAGTTACACAAATCCAGTTGATCTGCAAATGTGGAATTAAGTGCTGTCATCCTTCACTTATCTGGCACTGAGTTATATTTTCACGTACACTTGGCTTACAGATAAAAAAGTAACAGAGTTTAAAAGAGGGCCTGACTTTGTTTTGCAAGATGGAGACACACTTAGAAACAGCAATGACAACACAGCTTGTAGAAAGATTGTGTATCATAATATCTGCCACTCCTGAAGCCAAGCCACAGTCACTAACAACTCTGAAGCCTTTTGCCCCTCTAACAGAGATATAGCTCAAGGAAAAAAAGCAACTGAGGTTTTTAGACTTTCCCCAAAGTCAGCCGCATCTTGTCTAGAGATTACTCATATGACCAATAGAAAGGTTTACCCAAAACAAAACACAAGTACATTTGCATAACAATTAGACAGATCTTTTTACTGCTTGTGCACTGAAGTGATCCCAAAACATTAATTAAGCCTCACAACACTCTAGAAAGGCAGACAGTGCAGAGCTTGTTTTACAAGTGGATCAAACAAACATCTGAGGCTGATACAGCATGAAGACGGAAAGGGAAGAGCCTGGATCTGCTTAGATCTTGCTATGACAGCATAGCCTAATGTAACAACAGGTGTTTAATATGCCTACATGCAGCCATGACTCCTGTTACAATGCAGAACAAGAGCACAGTACTAGCACTGCTATTTTAATTATAAAGTGTTACCTATATAGAAGCTGAGCCAGAAAATATAATCTGCTTTAGCACAGAGCTAACTGCAAAACTAGCTTCTCATTATATGGTAATGGAACTGATATCTATCAGAGAGGAGATGGGAAACCACAAACAACTTTGTGATTAAAAGACTCTAAACTGTAATTCAAAAGCATGAGATACTAGATCCTGAAGCAAGAGGAAAAGATCACTGTCTGGTTGTGGTTAATAGATGTAGGCATGATTTCAACCATGCTTTAAGCCAGAAAACAAAAAGAGCACGCACGACCAACAATATCCAATATCTATGTATTTTGCCATCAGTGTTATCTTTATTATAAAATCTATGCAGGTAGTATTAGAAATAAATCTTATTGTTTAAAAAGTGTCTAATCCTTTGCTGCATACCTCTAGTTTTACAGTGATGGGTGAATGAGATCCAATAGGAAAATAATGGTCCTCCCAGCCTCAAAAAGGAAAAAATTAAAATCAGTTGCTGTAATGTAGGCTCCTATCTCACACTGCATTTCTATTTTGGCTTCTCTCATCTGGACTACTTTGAGAATTCTCATCAGTAGGAATTCATCCATCTCTGTTCTTTTCTTCCTCCGTGAATTTCAAATTGGGCAGAGCCAGGGGTAAAAACTCCAGTTGCAAGTCCAGACACTGAGGAACACATTCCAATGTGGCTTTACTGATGAACCTCCACCCTAATGCTCACTGAATTTGCACTCCTTTGCAGAAGCTGCCAAGGCAAAGACCCAACTCATTCTCACTAGTTACACATACAACATGCCTATACACCACCTACTAGAAAAATGCTTCCCTCTGAACATTGATACTGATAATTGCAAACTCCTGAACAGTGTCCGCATTGTGAATAAAATTTTAATGTCTTTTCCACTAAAATAGAAAAGGTTGTCACTGGAAAGATGTAAATGAAATCAAATGCACTGTGCTAAATACAGGTGAACCACAGGCATAAGATTTCTTGAGCCATCCGCCACTTGTGTATGCTGGAAACACTACGTGGTACTGCTCCCAAACTTCTGCTGGAGAGCAAGCGGAAGGTTTTCAGCATGTTAGTGATGCTGCTCCATTAGGAGGCACTAGAGAGTTGACTATTTATGCCAGCTAAGTGTCTGACTCCTGCTTAAATGCCCTCTTCTTGGCAAAATAAGGAAAAGAGAGAAAAGAAGAAATAAAGTTGGATGGGCTATTGGATGGAGGAAAAAAAAACGTGCTCCTCAGAATCAAAAAGCTATAAAGTGCCTGTTTCAACCTTTAGCCCTTCCATGGCAATTACGAGCAGAAAACAGCTGTGAAAAGGAGAAGGGAAGGAGAGCTTAAATTTGGATGTTTCAGATTTTCCCCTTTGGAGTGTACTGAAAGCATATTGCAGCTCCTTGCAAGGTTTCTGTCTGCACACATCATTCAAGGAGCCACAGTGCTGAGGACTTCATTCTTACTCTGCTGTAGATCTCATCTCATTCTGCTTTTAGTGACATCAGGGCAAACAAAGGTGGCTCCAGGGAAAGTACTCAAAGGATCACAGTCAACCAAATATACTGGGACCTCTAAAACTGGATTTCGACCTGCTGCCTTGTAAAACAATCAGTAAGAGCATCTGAATGCTTCAGGTATTTGACACTCAGGGTATGTGAATGCAGAGGGAGTGCAACTTCCACATTGTGTGGTATAATAAAAACTTGAGATCCTATCTGCTCGTGTTCATCACTTCTTGCTCCATAAATCATACTTACTCTGCAAACCCACTGAATGCTGAATTGATGCAAGATAGAGAGTTCTCCATGTATGGCTGCTTGCTTGCCAAAAGGCTGTGACTGACATCACGGTGAAGGCTGCCCACTGGTGCTACACAGTTATGCTCACGTTTCCTTAGGTTAACTTCATTATAGAAGTAGACTAGTGAGAGTAACGCTCTATATTTTAAATATAGAATCCCAGTTCTGCAATGTATAATAAAATCTTTAATATGGAGTGTTTTCACCCCAAAGCCATGAGATTTTAAAACCAACAAAAGCAAGAGTCTTTGTAATACATTATGTTTTGTCATCTGGATAAACCTGGGGTTTGGTTTACTGATCCAGCTTTAGAAGACTGAAGTGGAAGAAGTTTGAAGTGGAAGAAGTTTAAACGTTCCACAGATTCTTCCTTCCATCAGCTTTCAAAGCAATTGTGTCTCTCCCCAGCTTCTGTACTTTTTAATTAACAGAAACAACTCCAAAGATCACTCCTGCCACCAATATTGTGTGAGCGCATTTGAGTATAAGTACTGATTATTTGTTGGTATACTGCTGCATCCACAGTCTTAAATAATCATAAATAAAAACATCTGTGCTATGCTTTGGTACATTTCTGTCTGTTTAAACCACAGATGAACTTCTAAGTTGTACAAAACAAAAAAATTGCACTTTTATCTTCCGGAGAGTCTTGCTAGTCCAACAGACTTTCAGCTGAAGGATTCTTTATTGTACTCAAACCTTGTCCCATAAGAGTTGCTGCTGTTGCTCAGTTTATGAAGTATCTTAGAGATTTTGTTTGGTCCACAACAGAAAACTCCAATGGTCTTCCTGTTATCAAAAAAAAAAAAAAAGAAAGAAAAAAAAAGTTATGACATTGTGAATAAACAGTAACATCTAATGATAGACAGAATTGGATTCTGGCCTCACTCATACATAAGTCAACTACATATAGGTTTTACGGTGAGAACAGCTCATTAGGTCATGCAGTTAGTATTACTGAAGCCACCATATCTCTCCCAAGTATCCCCACAATAAACCCTATTACTTATCTGACTATGACAACTCTTAGGAAGAAGTACCTAATCTTAATTTAAAGAAAAATTATTATTTTCCACTCTATTTTTATTTTCATAATTAATCACCTTTTTGTTAAAAATGTGTCTCACTGTAATGACTTCATTAGTGTAACTCATGATTTACACCATCAGGAGATCAAGTCACTAATGGTGATTCGTTACACTCATGAAAACAGAGCACTACTAACCCATGATTATTTCTGGCAGCAGCAGAATAATTTTGCTGCTTTACTTTCACATTAGCATGCAGTTTTTCCTTCAACATCTATATTGGGAAATCTTATGAAAAGTCAAACACAGAGTATGATCCTGTAGGTCTCAGTCCAGGTTCATTAGTTAACCTGACTTTTTCACACCACTCTACTGACAGCAGCTCTTTGCTCTCTGGTCACCTTAAAGATGGCCTGTAAGTCAGATTGATGGTCATACAATATCTAAGGGCTCAGAATTGTAGTCAGCAATAGAACAGGGCACATGCACCACAGAAGGACTGAGCCATTCACAATATTCATCACCTCCCTTTTTTTGAAATATGAGAAGGGAAAGGAAGGAGTGGGGAAAGACAATGAAGTGCTGCCTCTTCTACATCATGAAAAAAAAATCATCATCTTCCTTCTGAAATTGTGCCACTACAAAAAAAAGATCTTAAAGATTTAGTGGAATGAAGAAAAAGCATACAAGAGCGAACATCGTTCTAACTATAGTGATCTACAGCACTCACCAAGAGGCTGAAGACTTGAATTCTGGACCCTGCCTCCAGGACTGCTTCAGTATTTTATCCAATAACTATTTAATATAAAATATTTTAGCACATGCAGGATAATCAAACACAGTTTAAAGCTCACTGTGTATGTGTTTGCTGAGAGAAAGGAATTAACACATACAAGAAGAAATCTTTGATGCATACTGTCAAGTAGACATGCCTGATGTTAGGCAGCTGCTCGAATAGCATGGCAGTGCATACTGTACCACTGCACAGCAACACTGGCATTGTACAACTGCAGATTCAAACATTAAAAAGCATCACAAAGTTAGGTAGGTAGCTGTAGAGGTGCAAGCACCTTACAATGCTGATTTTAATTGCCTTCAATTACATCATCCCTCATATCAATCCATGGCAAATACTTATAACCCATTCTTTTCTCACCCTTATATATACCTATTAAGCTTTCCTGTCCTAGCAGTACTCCTTTTAATGGCAAGGGATGTTGTGCTGGTGGCTAAATTTTCAGCAATAATGAGAGTACTATTGCTCATTGCTCTCAAATAAGATTTCTCAGCACCTGTAGACTCTGAACTTCCTCTAATCTGTGCACACTGGAGAAAAAGGATTCATGAGCTGCCAGCAAGAATCTGTTTTCTACTGTGTATTTAATTGAGAGAATTAATGTTGTTGTTGGTTTTTTATTTTTTTTTCATTAGTCTAATTAGTACAACCAACTGAAAATCCCAAAGAGTTCGTCTGCCCCTCTCCCTTTCATTACATATAAATTGCCACTAAAGTAAAGACATGTCTTAGCAGCACATACTGCTAATGTATTCCCATCCCAGCAACATCCTTACAGGGTACGCAGAATTTTTGGCTAGTAATCAGAACCACAGAAAGGTTAAGTCACAAAAGAGATCTGTGGCTAATAAGGTCTCCGAAACCCTGGTGAACCACTGCTCATGCAGTGAGCCAGAGGCTCTCAGACTTCCTTCGCAGGATACCGAACACCAGCATCTATTCTGGACATCTCTGCACATATCACTTACCTCCCACAGTTCATGCCCCACTTTCTCCCCCACCTCTATCACCCACTTCCCTGATTGCAGATACCTTCGTCCCTGCCAGCAGTGTGGCTCCTCCTCTGTTGTTGTGACACAAGCAGGCAGGTAGCTGAGAGATGCTACTACACGGAGCAGCACTTTACTACCCCGAGCTGAGGGGCTTTAATTGTGTATCAGTTGTCTGGGACAAAGGCTTACTTTGTTGCTAGAAGAAAACAGGCAGCTGTGTAGTGCTATGTCTGAAAATCTTTATAAATACCACTAACATGTTTACAATTAAGGAATCTATGTTCTAGGCCATTCTTTGCAATAATTATAAACATCAGTACAGGATTTTACTCATTCAGAGCACTAAGCAAGTAAAGCTTCAGTGTTCCTATGGCATGAGTAGGACAGCACATATTCCTACATCCATTTTATGAGCAGCTGGAGGTGAGGGAGAGATGAAATGCTTTGCTACATTGAGAAGATACAGTCAGGACTTAAAAAGATCCTGTTTTAAATCCCACATTCATTTCTAGAGAGAGGTTTCTCCTTTACATCACATGAGCAATGTATCATGGTGCTCCATGCCTTTTTCTCCTACAGATATTCATGTCTTTTCTAGGTCAGTCTCCACCTGGAGGACGCGCCCATTTGACC